AAATCTGTCACCTGTTTTGCAGGTAGAGATAGTTTTAAGCAAAACGTTTAAGCCACAGGTAATAGTTACACAGTTTCAAGTTTGAATTTCTTCAGGACTCTCGCAAGACTATTGTCTGACCTTTGTATTTATTCCGATGAACTTGTCTGAAAGGTTTTCATCAACATTTTCTGCGCAGGAAGGGCTCAAGACAGGGACCATTCTACCTTCCCTCATGATGAACATGGATGTGAAAAATCTGTATTTTAAATCCAACTGAAATCCATGTTTTAATAGAATTTCAAAGCAATTTGCCTTTTTTTTCTTTGTTGTTCTGTAAGTTGCTGTAGGGACATTTATTTCAGCAATCTTGTGATGCTGGTGATATATATACTCCAGCATTAATCAAGTACCAATTAAAAATAAATCCCTCTCAGAATGTAGGAATAACAACAAGGGCTTATCAAAGCAAGCTGCCTTACCAGACATACTATTACTTACTATACAACTGTCTAAAGTTTTTTTTTAAGGTTATTTCAGGTTTCTTTATTTGCAATTTTTTTCTTTTGAAATAAAAAAATATATTGGCATGCCCAGTAACCAAACATAAGGTCAGATAACCGTATCATCTCTGGCAAAACCAAACTACACAAGTTACTGGTGTGCAATTATAGGCAAAAGCTAAAAATTATTCCAAATTAGCTTTTCCTTTTCTACCACATGACAAAACTTTGCAGATAAGGGTAATTAAATTTTCCATTTCACAGTATCACTTAATAGTCTGATTTGTTTTAAATTATCCATCAAACTGCACAGTTAAGGAATACATTGCTAGAAATCTGAAACTGTGCTTTTAGTTTCCTGACAGTCTTTAGGTTCCATTACACCATCATGACTTTGAGAGTTGCAGGGCCTTTGTTATAACAAAAAAAAAAATTGATCTGTGGAATTACAAATGCTGCCAATCTTCAAAGTAACTTGGTATCCTGCAAATGTCATTTCATCACAACAGAACTATGCAAAATACATTGAAGTATTTGCAGGTATGCATCCACATTTTTTAGGGAGTCAGTCCTATACTGCAAAGAAGATACTGTTATCTGTAGTAAGCAACAGAATGGGGAACATTTACATCTAGCATTTCAGTTTGGCTTAGGTAAAAGAAATGTCATAAAATATAGAGATTAGGACTATTGTGAGCATTCAGAAGACAGCTAAACAGAGTTGGTTTAGGTTTTGTTTCTCTGTGGCTCATCACTGAATTGATGTAAACAGGCATACATTTAACAACAGAATTCATTGCAAGTAACTTCGGAGAAAAAGTGGCAGGAAGAGGGAAATGCAAACATAGGATTAAATAAAAATAGGGGGTTTATTAATAAAGTTAAATTTACAGCAATACATTAAAAAAAAAGAAATTTCCGCACTGGAGTAGCCAACCTTTCAAAACTCATGTATGAAGATTTTCATGTGGTCAAAAGACATATGTGCCACATACCTTGTGTAGCTGATGGGAGTAAAACTAGTAGCATATGGGAGGAAAAGGATTATGATGTTATGATTATTATGTTTTGTAAAAGAAGGAACTTTCACCCGGACTTGACAGCAATAACCCAAATCTCATTGGGACATTTAGCTGGCTGAGACAGCAAGGACAGATAATAAGCATTTTTCAGAAAACTGGTGATACTGTGGACTAATTTGCTAGAAGTGGGAAAGGACTTTGTCCTTTAGTAGCAGAGTTCTGCCTCCAGAACTTCACACAATGTATCGACACACTTCCAAGTGTAAACTACTTCAGATCAGCCCCTGTTAATTTTGTGCCTTTTCACACTTTTCACAATAATGGAAGCTACAAAACCATGAAGAAACCTCTTAAATCTACACAGCTCAATGACAGAATGTAAATGTAACATCTACATAAGGCTCGTCTGCAATGCTGGCATGCAATTATCTTGTAATTCGTAATCATTCAGGTTGGAAGAGACCTTGAAGATCATATATGGAGTCCAACTGCTAACCCAGCACTGCCAAGTCCACCACTAAACCATGTCCCCAAGAAGCATATCCACACATTTTTTAAATACCTCTAGGAATGGTGACTCAACCACTTCCCTGGGCAGCCTGTGTTCCAGTGCTTCACAACCCTTTTGGTGAAGAAATTTTTCCTAATATCTAATCTAAACCTCCCCAGCACCACTTGAGGCCTTTCCTCTTGTCCTGTCACTTGTTACTTGGGAGAAAAGACCAACACCCACCTTGCTGCGACCTCCTTTCAGGTAGTTGTAGAGAGCAGTAAGGTCTCCCCTCAGCCTCCCTTTCTCCAGGCTTAACAACCCCAGTTCCCGCAGCTGCTCCTCATAAGTCTTGTGCTCCAGACCCTTCACCAGCTTTGTTGCCCTTCTGTGGACACGCTCCAGCACCTCAATGTCTTTCTTGTAGTGAGGGACCCAAAACTAAACACAGCATTTGAGGTGCGACCTCACCAGTGCTGAGTACAGAGGGACAATCCCTTCCCTAGTCCTGCTGGCCACACTGCTTCTGATACAATTCTTTAATACTCTTTTGGTTGTTACTTCCATGTAAGGTGGTAAGATACCTCAGATGCATGCAAATCCCTCTGGGTAAAGAACATGTTCTATTTGTTTGAGAGCTTTAAACTTTTTCTTTCTCCATTAATGATTTTGATACTTACAGAGGTTTGAAATACTACTGACATGAAAAATTTTGATTAGTTGGATGCAGCACAGCTACATCTACCACCAAGATGAATCTTCAATCTCATCCAGCATTTGTATTAGCCTTCAGTTCTCAACATTTCTTCAGATTTCCATTTTCAGCTCAATGGTTGAGGATACTAAAAAATCTAGTAAAGGTAGTTTACCTATTGCGCCTTTTGTTTTGACGTATTCTAGATCTGGGAGCAATTTTACCTGTCATAACACACTGCAGAGTAGACAGAAGCTGGAGTTCACCAATGAAACATTCACTTTTGATGGTACTTAACTAAAGACAGTCGGATCATCTTGTACAATTTCAGTTCCAGCCTAGTGCTGTAGTACTCTATAAGTTAATGAAAGAGCAATGAAGTTAAGTATTGAGTAGGTTTTTTTGTTCTCTAAAATATATTCCTGTTGGCACTGGTCCTCTGCAAGCTCTTGCACTCAATTTCATTCAATTTCATCTCCAGAGTTTGAAGAATATAGTGATGATAATCTCTTCCACTGTCAGCATGCTCATTCTTAAGAAGCGATCCAATAGGAGAAAAAAAAGAAAACCAAGTCCTAGGAAAATGATCGGAGGAAAAGAAGGCCTGGGCTCACCTATGCACTGAAAAAAAAAAAAAAAAAGCTTTCTTCCTCAGCAAGGGAAGGGGACTTTCAAAAATTCTCATAATTGAATATTTCCATTATCTCAGCAGAAGAAAGAAAAAAAAGAAACTGTGCTGTATGTGAAACTGATTCTAGTTATGGGAAGAATAGATTTACATACAGCAATTTCATATATTAGGTGTCCACAGATAATGTTAGGTATCTACCATTTACCAGTCATTTCCCTGGACTACGTAATTTCAAAAATCAGGCTGTCCATCTGCTGCATTAGCTATCCGAGCACTTTTCAATTTTAATGTTGACAATCATATAAAGCTTGAAGACCAATAAATTAAGATCTTGCTGCTCTTCACTTATAAAAAACAGAAGAAAAAAAATGACTGGCTTTTCTTGTTACTGCCTCCTTAGTAAGATCAGCATATTAAGCTTAGCTGGTACAGAAAGAGATGCAGTAGATTCTGGACTGTTAAGATTCCAGTTATTCCAAATGAATTGGAATAACAGTTCGTGTCTGTGATAGGAAAATAGCGACATCGGCCAACTGGTTCATTACACTGAAACTGGGTCAAAAACAATGCTTTAAACAAATGTTAGCCAGCATATAGGGCAGCTGGTTAAAACTGAAACAAGAATATAATCAAATCTGGGCAACACAAGGTAGTTTTATGCCTTTTTTTAGCCAGAATTCAGTGCATAGCACTTCCCCCATTCTTTAGATCTATGTGGACAGAGCTGTCTCAACTGTTTCTTTTGTGACAGTTGGGATAAAACTCTCAGTTGCATATGAAAAAGCTGTATCCCCTCCCCCCCCTCCAATTTGTAATAGATTTAACTGATCACATGTTGGTATTTTGATTTGTTAAGTAGTTAAAGTGAATAAATCAAAAAACGTGGATATGTAACCAAGGATTTCAAACACAATATTGTGTATTATTAAAATTAATGATTTCATGCCATGTAAGACAAACTGAGTTTAGGCTACGTATTCAATTTTAAGGCTGAGTTGCTATCACCACATCTTTTGTTAGGCAACTGGAAACTTCAATGAAGATAAACATGTAACTAACAATAAAAAACCAGAATTATAATCATATAATCACTATATACTGATGCTGTGTGAGGCACTCGATGCTATTCTGACTTAATTTGTGAATATTTAACTGGCTTAGTTTCATTTTTGAAGAGCACCACAGAGATACCATTGCAATCTCAAATCTTTTGGACTAAACCTCCCCCATATCCAGCATAAAAACCAGTGCTTTCTATTCCAGTCATGAATACTTATGGAATATTGACAATATTAATTTGGGCAGAAAGGAGATTATATAGTAAACATTTATACAGAATAGTCTAAGTTATACTCTAATGTTAAGTTTTATATATTATACTTGGCTCCTTACTTGACAAACTTCTTTTGAATAGAAAGAAAAAACCCCAGCTTCTATTGAGAGAATTTGTATATGCAAGGCTGGTAAGTTTAAACAAGACAGTGAATATAGAATTACCATCAAAGATAAACCATAATCTTTAAAGTTGCAGATGATTTCGAACATTCCTTTTGATAGATTCCTAGTACAGCAATTTTTTAGAAGTATGAACACTCCAAATCTCCTCTATTTATAGGGAAGTTTGTAACAGGTTCAATTGGAGACATCAAAAACATTTTAAATAGACATCACAAGATGCATCTGTAGTTTAAAGGTCGAATTTATTAGGAGATTAAGAGATGTATTATACATGGACTATAAATACAGCACAGCTGACTTTATTCACAGTCAGACAGCCAATGCCAACCTATTTTGTAGACACCCTTGTTCTTTTGTTCCAAGAAAAGTTTGCACCATAAGACTTGGATTTAGGTTTTGGAATCTTCTTCTCTTCAACGTCATAGCTCCAGCCTGCAGGTTACAGGGGAAATGGTGGGGGGAGACAAGAAACAAAGACAATTCTAAATATTCTCAGCATACAATATAGCACAAATGCAACTTAAACCTTTTAACTTTATTTTTTTTCTCCATATAGGCATCCACTAGTTTTTTCCTTTGTAGTTGACAGCAGAGAATACTGAAATGCCATAGACGTGACACATGCCTGTTCACTCAGTTAGTAAGACTTCATCATACTATGTACCTCTATTTTCTTTACTCCTGCAAAAAACTTGACGGTTACCAGCGAAAAGCCCAACAGGTCCACTGACTGTCCTGTAGGGTTGGTTCCACAACTCCATAGCATCACAGAAGCACTAAGGCTCTGTATATGTCGGGACAGGAAATGAAAATAAAGATAAGGAAATATGGAAAAAATAGCATACAGAAGATCAATCCAAAAGGCTGGGAGAGAATGGAGATCTTGGAAAGCTGGAGAAAAAAGAAGGGTGGGAGGACCAAAGAAAGCAAGAGCAAAGAAAAAACTTCAGCATTAGAAAGGAGCTTAATACTTCACATTTTTATAAGAACATAAAAAATTAGGAGTAAAGAAAAGGGAATGAAGTGATAGAAGACAAGTAAATTATGGATAGTTAAGCAAGAGAAATGCTAAAAAATGTCAGAAAAGAGGAGGTGGAGACATTAGTGTTTATGTAAATCAAAATGCAAATTGGTTGCAGTCTCCAGGTGCCTGGAAAGTTGCCAGGGCAGCACTCAGTATTCCAAAGTTTGGTCTCTTTAGCTGCAACATTTCACTCAAAGTTGAGATACCTGAGTTAAAGCTAGAAGTGGTTAAGTATGTAGTTTTAACTGATACTAATAAGATAAAATTTTCTTCCTCAGTTTTAAAACAAAAACTTGCCACGTCCTAAAAGGTTTAACATATATCTGAATTTCTACATTTAAGATGTTCACAGAAAACACTCAAGATACATCTACACATCAAAACATGTTTCATAAGATACGTAAGCTGCCATGTCACTGGGCCTCAATTTTATGTATTCATAAATGTCACACAAACATTTTATTCATGTTTATTAGGCTGAACCAATCTTAATTTCCGAGCAAACTATTGAGGTTTTAAAAACATATTCTTCCCATCTGTGAGAACACTGGCTTTTGTCTCCTGTTCTTATTAATAATATAAGCTTGAGTAAACAGCCAGAACTCGATCCAGAGACAGACTGTGGTATTGCGACATTCAACATAGTAACACCTAACTTTGAGGCACTTGGCTGCTGGAATGGAATCTACAGCCCCAAGTTATTGCTTCATCTTTTTATATGCTAGATAGAGAGGAGCCGAGTGCCTCCAAAAGAGATTTGCAACTGCCAGCACAATGACTTGGGCTGCCATAGCTATCCAAAATCCATCAAGTTAGTTACATCTAACTTCAGATTGCAGGAGGCCACCATATGTGATAAGGTTTCACGCTCTGGAGAAGTTTCCTTGAGTTAGGCACCTTCAGTTGCTCATGACAGGGTGCAGAGACCACCTTTAGAAAAATATCGCAATGGTGAGGGAGGTTATTCTTGCCCAGAACCTTGTCATACAAGCCACGTGGGTAGAAAGCAGATTTCATCGTCTCTGGAAGAACACCCTCATCACCCGACTAAAAGTTACTGTGGAGTAGAAAAACGCTCCATCTTTGTTACTAAAACTGTATTTTTTTAAAAACTGCCTTGGTGATGTCAGACAGGACAAAAAATAATTCAGATTGACGGGCTAAACTTTTAATTTCATCCAGTTACAAGTGTTTCCTTCTTGCCTCAATTTCAGACCATCCTCAGCTGTCATATTTTGGATTGAGATCTCTCCCATTACTGTATTCAGTGCTGTTATTCCTACATTAGAAAACACATCAGATGGGGCAGGCAGAAAGATAGCTTGCCTCAGGTTCCTGAAGTTCTTAGGTAAGAAAGAACTCTTAGACTTCCCAATCGCATCAAAATACCTGAAATATCTATGATTTGCAGAAATTAAACTCAAGATTCTTAAGGAATTTTGTAATGGAAAACCTGGCTGGTTCAAATGGGAAGGAAAGAGGTAAATATTTGTGTTTCTAGACTTAAGATGTGTTTCAACCACACGTCAGTTTAGAAGCTAAGTCCTATTGTAAATGTGAGCCTAAGTTTCTCGTTTCTGTCTAAAAGCAGAACAAAATATAGTAAAATTTGTATTTCCAGCTACATCTGACACTGAAGCCATGACCACTGAAAATGTTATGCACATACCACACACATAACACTACTCCACTTTAAATAAAAACAGAATAATAATTTGGGCAAGCCGGTATCCACAGAAAAGTCTGGTAAATCTCAATTATGGTAAAATTAAGGGTGCGACCTAAGTGAATATTGAACTAGTAATACTAAGTCACAGTCTTAGTTTAGTTGGTAGATTTTTTTTTGTAGTTTTCCCACACAATGGAGATTCATTACTAATTCAGTAAAAGCATAAACTTTCTACACTGAACAAATTAAGTATTTTACTTGAATCTGTCTTTTGAAAGGACAAAATATAACATGTCCAAAGAGATGACGTAAGTAGCTCATTAATATAGTGACATTTGGGCCAGGATTCAGTTTTTTTCTCTTACGGGCTGTATTTTCCAAGAAATAGAAATAGCATGAACAATGCAGAAGCATAAATAACACAACACCAGATCCCCCAAAATTTCGTATTTGTTCACAAAACATTACAAGATACTATTAAAATTGCACAGTAATTGGTATATCCAACGCAAGTATCATGATACTATTAATTTCTTCGTGAATACAATTTATTTTTCAATAAAATTAAGAATATTAACTTAAAAAAAAGAGACCCATTCAAACAGGAATAGAGGAATTAAATACAAGCTTTTACCTTAAAATGTGCAAATAAATTGCACATTAAATAGTTTAACATCTGAACTGTAAAAGTTAACGGACTTACCCTGTTTTTTGGGGCATACAATGTAAGCCATCTGACAACTTTGCACAATTCGGTCTGACCAAGAAACTTCACTATCTATTTACACAAGCTAAATATAGTTGAAAGCTGTAGACCACAGGGAAGGCATTATTTCTGGCTTTAACTCAGTGCAATCAATCTTTCTCACATCCATGAGCACTAAAGCATCAAGCCTAGCTCTTTAAGGAAAATGAAACTGATTTTAAAAAGACAAAAAAATCCACTGAGAAATTCATACCAACACATAAAAAGAATGCTGAATATTCAAAAGGCTATTATTATGGGTACTGCTTGCAGTATCATAGAATCATAGAATGGCATAGGCTGGAAGGGACCTCAGAGATCATCTAATCCAACCTCCCTGTCATGGGCAGGGACGCCTCTCAACTAGACCAGGCTACTCAAGGCTCCGTCCAACCTGGCCTTGAACACCTCCAGGGAGGGGGCATCCACAACTTCTCTGGGCAATTTATTCCAAAGTCTTACCACCCTCATACTGAAGAATTTCTTCCTAAGATCTAATCTAAATCTGTTCTCCTTCAACTTAAACCCATTTCTCCTTGTCCTATCAGTGGACACTCTTGTACAAAGTCCCTCCCCAGCCTTCCTATAGGTTGCCTTCAGGTATTGGAAGGCAGCTATTAGGTCCCCCCAAAGTCTTCTCTTTTCGAGGCTGAACAATCCCAACTCCTGCGACCTGTCCTCGTAGAAGAGGTGCTCCAGCCCCTGGATCATCTTTGTGTAGGAGAGGGGGAGGTGCTGATCTCCTCTCTCTGGTCACCAGTAATAGGACATGAGGAAACGAAACGAGGCTGCATCAGGGGAAGTTCAGGCTGGACATGAGGAAAAGGTTCTTCACCAAAAGGGTGGTCAGTCACTGAAAGAGGCTGCCCAGGGAGCTGGTCACGGCACCAAGCCTGTCAAAGTTCAAGGAGCATCTGGATGACGTTCTTGGTCATATGGTTTAGTTTTAGGTAGTCCTGCAAGAAGCAGGGAGTTGGACTAGTTGATCCTTATGGGTGCCTTCCAACTTGAGGTATTCTGTGATTCTATGATAAATTCATTCTTCAATGTGGCCAAAACTAAAGTCCAACAAGCTTACTTGGTAGTCACTGAATTTTCATTTTTCTGATTATCAAACATTCACAAGGGTTCTGATAGTCTTTCCTTAACTAGAATTCAGATCCTTATGTCAAGCCATAAGGCAAAAATCCCACTGCCATGTACCTGGGACTCCCAGCCAGCCTGAGATACTATGAAAGTACAAATATTAATTTTCCTCCAAGACTTGAGCAAGGCTCAGTTCTTATTCAAAACATGGATACTTGCAGAAGCATTGCAATAGTAGTGCTAAGAGGCTGGAACACTCTTCCAGAAAGTGGAAGGCCTAGATTCAACGTCTTCAGCACCCTGGGAAATATTCCCCCTCATTTTCCTCTTCCTCAAGTAGACCACTAATGGTCTACCAATTTTGTGGAGGGAAGGTACTTTATCCTGACCTTTTTCTGTTTTTAATACTTTGAGATCAAGATTGCCTATAGAAAGCTGAATCCCTTATGCCCAATATGTACAATACGTACCATTCTTTTCAGCAAAGGCAATGGCATCTTCTTTAGTAGAGAAAGTGAGAACCATGTTGGATAAAGGATCAGCTCTGAAATAAATCAGATGACAAATTTTAGGCACATTTGAAATAAAAAATACTTATATCTGTATCTCAAATGGTAGTCAAATGCTGTATTACACAACTTTTTGTAGTACACCACCTCACAGACCATTCAAAATCCCTTTATTTTTAATTATTTCCAGGATTAACACTTGCTTTCTACACAGTATTGTTTCACTCTCTCGGTCTGTTAAACTTCCCTGCCAACTCTTTGCAGAAATTAGTGTTTTAAGTTTTTTATTAGACAAACATGTCTCATCACCTGCTGAGGTTATAATAAGTGCTCTGTAACAATCTTTTTGATTTTTGAAGCTGTGTAGTCCCTCTCTTTTTGGAAGATCAGGAGGCTTATGGTAATTTTGAACATTTCAAGGAAACCAGGAGTCTGTAGAGCAGCTAGGGGAAGAATAATCATATACAGAAAAGAGCAGAATATCAAAGTAAGCAGAGCAGGAATTAACAGAGACTGAAAACTACATTAAAAAAACCTCAACAGTTCCTCTTTGGCTGAGGTCACATGACCTTCATGAATTATTCCAGTACAGCAAGCAGCTAGCAGGTCACCACTGAAAACGAAGCTCAGAAACGCAAACTGCTAGCTAACTAAATGCACAGTGGTTAGTTGTAGATGATCAGCTATTCGTCAACTGCATTTCTGAAAGGAACCAAACAGCAAAAAGCTTTTTGACACAAATTAAAATCTCAGTTAAAAAAACCAAACTGATTTATTTGTTCCTATAAAAGCTCAATTTAAGAATAATGACAAAAGATGAAAAAAAAAAAAGAGTTCTAAAAATTAATCTACAAACTTTTAGAGAAATAAGATACAGTTGTAGCAGCACAACGATTAGATAATGCTCCCCTGAGACAACACTGCACATGAGCCTGGGAGACAGCTGGAAAGACATGACCAAATAGCAACCATTGAAGGAGCTGCCTCTTAACTGTTCTCTCTTTGAAGCTAGAATGGTAAATGAAGAGAAAAAGCAACCAAAGATAACTGAACTCTCTACAATGAAGAACAAAGCCTGTGACTGGCAGAGGGGGAGGGTAAGAGGGGGAATCTAGCTTCCAGCAAAGGCAACAATGTAATTTTATCTGATGTACACATGGAAAAACGGAGTTCACTATATATCCAATATATTCCTCAATTAAAAAAAAAAACAACCAACCAAAGAGGATAAAGGTAGAAATTACACTTTCACAAGCCACTAAGATGGGCTCTCTTAAGACATTTCAAGATTCCTCTTATAAAGCCAGTAAGAAGAATTAGGAACTAACAATTAGTGCATGACGTGATCAGTGGAGAATCAAATGACCCCAAAATACCGCAATATTTGACTACTTTTTCTTATCATTCTCTTCCATGATTGGGGTTGTCTCAATACTACTAAGTGGGAACAAAGAAGTTTAAGCCTGAAGTGTAGCGAGGGATTGGTGCCTCCTCAGTACCACAAGTTTGGCAAAAACCTTCCAGAAGAGAGGCAGTTGGGAAATCAGGATTGCACAGAAATGGTTTGTTCTGATTTCACGTGTGATCATCTTTCACCCAATCTAAATACAGCTTCTTGATTTCCTTCCATAAAGGAACTATCCATGTGTCAAGTTTGTGATAATCTGTGAGCAACCTGGAGTTCAGGATGGCCAGTATGATGTCCTGATAGCATCAGCAACAGCAGTGCTGCAGGATTTCCTATGCCAGCCCTAAACTGTTTTACCGGTCACTACAAACTGGGATTCCACATTTTGTTCTCTTATGAGATCTACAATGGAAATCATGCGCTTCCCATGTTTTTTTGTTTACAGCTTTATATTAAAAGATGTACTCAAGAATGATGCATGTGCATTCCTGTAATGAAACCTCCCAATTAAAAAAAAAAATGTCATGAGTCCATTTTATTTAGGTCTACAACTAGGTAATTCTCACTGAATAAAAACTATATCCAAGAAACAACAAATGTAACAAAAAAAGCAAACAAGACTTTAAAATGACAGAAATATAGCAAAGACCTGCAGGTAATTAAGTATACTGAGTTCAGAGGAAAAGGGCTCTAATCCCTAGACTTTAAAGGGCTCTAATCCAGTAATCCCATTACATTATTCAAAAGAAAACAGGAAAAAATTCTAAGAACTGTTCTTCACAGAAATTAAACCTGAAGAGAATAAACTTCTTAGGAATTTCTGGGTGTTGAACAGTAATTTGAAATTACCAGAATGTCCACTAATGATTTTTGTGAGAATTTCTTAAAAAATGAAGAGATACACTAGTTTTCAAAACCCTTAACCTAGCAGTGTAAATTCTCAACGCAGTACTAGCTTTTGGCCTACCTGGAGCTTGCTTAGACAGGAAATATTCCTTTTGCTACACCAAAATAAAAATGCAAGCAGAGATGGATTAATTCAAAACAACCGTTCCTTTTTAAATGCCCACAATAAGCTCACTCCAGGACAAGCTAATGGACAGGCAAACTCTTAATACCAGATCTCATTTTTCTAGCTGGTTTATTTAGCACAAATGGTTATAACTGTCAGAAAGGTTAAAAGCCATTGTTTTGGCTGAGATCACGCAAAATCCCACCCAGAAAATAACTTGCCTGGGGAGGTTAAAGTCAGCTGAAAAGCAAAAGGAACGAGAAGGAAAGTTAAGTTGAGCCTGAACTAAAGCAGGTGTTACTGGCACCTGCTGCAATGTTATAATCTGTGCAGTGGTATAGATAGACCACCCTTTAGTGGGCAGACACTGGGGGGGCACACAAGACAGGAGGGAAAGGTGCATCCCTGGTCAACAGTCTATCACTTAAATAATTTAGGCCCTGTGAAACAACCTGGTCATTACTTGCTAAATGTCGTAGCTACTTGCAGTCGTCCAGTTACCCAAGGCATACTTGTACTCAATCATTGAAATCTTATCCTCTGAAACAGCAATTTAAATATGCTTAAGACAAAATGGTGAAAAACCCCAGGACGTGCTTAAGATGAGGTCATTGTTATATGCAGGCTTAAAGTTTTAAAATAGGTATTTTAACAGACTTCTAATACAATTAATATTTTAATTCATATTCAGTATTTTTTCTCATCTAACCATAGTTGAGCTTGGCTTCCGTAATGCTTTGCAATACCACTACAACCAAAATGTTACAGATGTGAGCCTCCTCAATTCTTTATGGGAAAACAACATAACATGAAGACTTGATTTTAGAGTTCTTTTAAACTAATATTTCTGGATACATTTATTGTATAAATAAATACAAAAAAGAAAAAATAACTTATTCTGTCACCAGATTTAAAATGTTAATAAATCTCAAAAAATGCATTCTCAAATTATTTCACATTTAAGGTTTTATTTTTTTTCATAGAATTTTGTGTTCTTTGATCGTAAGGACTAATATGACTGCAGCCAGACATTATTGAAACAACACACTTCAAGGCATCCTTTTTGAAGTTTCAAAAATAATCTCTAGTGGTTGATTTTTGTTTATGTAGAATAATTAACTTTTCTGAACATGCCTCAAACAAGACAGCCTCAAATCAAACTCACAATATTGTCAGAATTGCTGGCACAGTCCTCACAGTTTACAGGAATTCTAACCACACTGTAAAATGTAGGTAGTATATTTACATAGAGGAAAAAAAAAAGAAATTAGCTGCATCCAAGTTATACTTACATGTCCAAATTATAGCATATTTAGCTAAGATTAGCAGTTTTCTGGATTTTGGCATATTTAAGAGTTTTTACTACTACTATTAGCAACACAAACAGTGTAATATTTTAACAGGTTTGGTGGGTTTTTTTAATTAATTATGGCTCCTCATTTCAGATCTTCAGGATATTTATAAAACTTTATAAAAAAAAAATCCAGAAGCTAATTATTGTTATCTTATGTTTACCCAAATTTAAAAGATGCACCTGAGAAGGATTTACTGCTTCAGGTAACTAATAACCTTTTCTCCCTCATGCTGCCATACAGTAACGTGCCTATAAATGTAATTGTTGAAATTTCCGGTTGTTAACACTTTTTCCAAACTCTTCCAGATGATGTTGTGAGCCAAAATCTGCTTTTAAACATAACAAATGATTAATCATACAACTAATGAACCCAACCACTTACCGTAAATACTGTTAAAACACAAGTCGATTTACAGGTACAAGGGACATTTCAGACTTACAATTTACATGAATATTAAGAACCACAAGTAGAAGAAAAGTCTTTCCAAATTCAGAAACTACTCACGTAGATGCCCAGCCCATTAAAGGGTTCTCCCAGCGCTCCCTGTTATCAAATTCCATCTTCCATTTCTTTGTATTGTTAACTCCTGCCTGCATTGCATTACGTGCTGGAACAAAAATGTGAACTTTTCTGGTTTTGATGTGTTCTTCTGGAACACCAGTTAAAGCAGTGATATCCTATGAAAAACACAACGGAACTTGTTAAAAAAGGGTTCATGTAAAAGGCTTGTAAAATAATACTGCTTATGCTTTTAACATAATTTCATGCTTCATTTGTAAGTTACAAAAAAAGAAAAAAAAATAGCAGAAAAGTATGTTATGAGTCCAGCTGTATAAAAGTGAAGCTGATACATGTTGGGGCTGCTATCATCCTGCTTCCCCTGGCTGAGAATTCGCATGGATCAATTACCTGAACTCGCTCATCTCCCAGACAGACAACGGCTAGTGACAGACAAGGGACAGGACATTCCCTCCCATTCTCTGACTACAGCTGCAAAGTCAACACTGCTCCAACTTGCACCAACTAAAACCAATGTGGAAATGTATAAATTCTTCCTTCTCCCTTAAAGAAAATATTAGAGCGCAGATTGAAACATCGACAAATCTCAAAATTTTACATTACCATTAGGAGCCTAAACTTCCCATGAACAGGACTACTCGCCAAAACCCTAGCCAGCCAACTATGTACTGCAGCGCCAGTGCTTTCGCTTGGCTGAGGTCTGTATGTAACTAAGAGGCATCAACATCCACACGGACTCAAGAAGCTATGCTTAGCGTGAAGGATGAGGCAAGAGGTTATCTCTCCCACAAGAAGTGATTGATTGTTTGAGACTGCAGAGCAGGTACTAGAACTCAGCTCTCTTAATTCTCTATTAGTTATTACATACAATTGACCCCGTGTTTTTCAAGCTATGAATATCAACTTTTCAGAGTCAACTCTTCTGTTGATGTTCAAGATCAAGAGAGGAATATTTGGTACTGGTAAGGTTTCTTTGGTATTTTTCTGAAGGATAAAAGGGTTCAGGAGATTCCAACCTTCAAAGGAAAAAAAAACAGGCTTGTAACATTGTATACGGTCAGTAGTAGGATGCCCTCTACTAAGGCTTGGCTTGTCAGCCCCTCAACAAATAAACCTAACAAAGATAAAAACTGAAGAATCACAAAAATAGCCTAAAAATATTAACTGACTTTAACAAAGAATAAGATAGGGAAAAACCTCACAAGAACTGCTGTAAAAAAATTACACTCAGCAGCATCTGATACAATCAAAGTGAACTTTCTCTTTAAAAACTAAACAGTAATTACATAAAATTAACCTGTCAGTTCACCCTAGTAGAGCAAAGAGTGAAATCAAACATCAAATCCATCTCTAAGGATGCTGAACTACTCCTGTTCCTTACATACTTAAAAGGCCAGTGGGAGCTCCTTGGTCTCCCCCTCCCTGCCCTCCCCTCCTCTCCTCTCTCCAGGAACAAACAGTACACTGGTAAAAGTCAAAAAAATTGCAGGAAAACTTTGGGCATATTGAACTCATCTCGCCAGTACCGCCATGACTTGAATTAAAAGGCAAACAAGTTTAAATAAAACACTGTGGCTTTACATGTCTGTAGCTACTAACTTTGTGGGATTTCATTTTGTGGCAAACTCAAAAGCTCTTGGTGCTGTCACCAGATCATCCTTTGAAATGAAGCAAGTCTCATTTTTCATTTTAGTTCAGAAAATAGATTTGGGGAGATCACTCCCTCAAAACTACACAAGGGAGCAAGTTTAAAGCATTTGACTCGTATTTGCAATTAGAACAGCAGGGGAAACAAACAAGCATGCACACTAATTTTCCAACTTCGGACATTTCTACCCAGACTACCAAAAGAAACTGTCAAAATATCTTAACAATTCCATTATATATGCTTTCATTAGGACCAAGTAATGTTTATTTTTAATACAAGTCCAGCAGTGATATGAAAAAGAAACACTACCAGTCACTGGAATGTTGCAACATGGATGTAAAACACCTCCTGACAGACTGGCGTTTCTGCCGGCTGAAAATTAAACCAAAGTTTTAGAAGGAAATAGCTTAAAGTTTTCTTATTCGAAATGGCAAAGTGCTTTGTTTAACAAAAAGCTTTTTTTACCTACAGTAAAGTTTGGTGGGGCTTCAACATTTCAGCCTGCCTACGTGTAGGAAAAGGCCACTATACTAGCCTTTATTTCTGTATTTAACAAACATGCCTACTGAGAAAACATAAGGATATTCACACAAAAAATCTCTTTTTCCCCACTGAAATAATCTGCTACATGCAAAAATTCTGGGTTTGTTATGATCAAATACCTCCAAATATGCAAGCTTCAAAATAGCTCAAAAATATGATTTTTTTTCACCATTATTAATCTCAGCAAATCGTATGTCCATTCTGAATTTTATGCTTCAGATTTAGAGGCTTTTGAATTGTTCTGGAATTATATGGAATTACTGAAGTAAGATACTATGTTAAATAACATGGATATATACAATTTCCTCTTTTGAAGCCTCCACACCAGGGAATCATAAAAATACTACACATTAGTGCATACAGAATGCAATCTAAAAAGAGTATTAAAAACCAGCAAATGCTATTTTTATGAGGTAACCGCAGAAAAGAAATGCCTAGACTTGTTCATCTGGATGAAAATAAAACCACCACTGGGCACTCAGTTGGCTCCCAATCAACGTTATTTCACTAATAATACAGGATTCATCCCATAAAAATATTTTCAAGGTGAAAATTAAAACCTGCCTACTTTCCAAAATGAAAATATACACATGGTGTTGCTAGCTCTTCATACTTTGATTCATTATAGCTAAAGTTTTCATGCCTTCTGGGAATCTAGCAATTGTTTATTGATATCTTCCCCATTTTAAAGCTGGCAATTGAACAGACAGTTGTTAGGACAATGAGTTTCTGGTTTCTGAAGCCCAAGTTGTCCTGACATAAAATCACTGTTTTTGCTTGCTGTAGACATGTAAGGTACTGTAGCATAGCCGAGCTGTTGCCAAAGATATGGAATAAAAAGGCTTGGCATCTATCACATACTTGACACCTAAAGAGCACAGAAGCTCTAAAATTCCTATTCCCTGTAGGCGCACTCTTAGTCTAGACAAACTGATTTCTCACACTTTTAAAATGCATTACAACACTCTATTGTGATCATTTCATCCACACAGCTCCAACTAGTGACAGAAGAACCTGTCCTTTAAGCGACATTTCAATGGGCTAAAGCTCCCGCTCCAAGATGCCATTAAAACAATATAATACTTGAAAAGAACTACGCTGCACTGGGTTGAACTCTTTACTGTGTCTTCAGTGCTTTGTTCTGAGTTCAAGTTCTCATTGAAACTACCTGTGAATCAACTTTCCAAAACAAAGATGTTTTTGACAGCTGGTTTCACATTAATATCTTTTTTTTTCAAGTGTTCCCTACTGAATTTTGCTATATTAGCATATTAAAATATTAGTGAGGTGTTCAGCATTCAAAATTCTAAATAATAAGGTGACAATATAAATTACTTGAGATTTGAACTGTATAGGTTTGCTTTATTAAAAATTAACACAGGCTATCATCTAAAAGGTGCATTCTGACATTCTGTTTTTCTTAATATATATAGAGAGGGTGGTTTTCTTAATAACAACAAATACTAATTCTGAGGCATTTTGGCTCTTCTTGGAATAAGCTGAGAGGAACAAAACACTTTTCCAAACAACAGAAATAACATCTAATTGCTTACAAATGAAGAAGAGGTTTTGTCTTTATTGTAACTCACACTATTTAAGAACACCTGTCATGACAGAAAGCCTGGTAAATTTGTTTGG